CTTGCAGTGAGGAATCTGTGATATTAACGATATGGGTTACCTTTTTTCCCGTATTGTGTTATAAAATTAGCAGCAAGCTAAGCTCCTTATATAACTTTTGNTCTACCATAACAAGTTCTGCTAGCTTCAGGCCTATGACTAATCCCATGCTCATGCCTGTCTGTTGTGTGTAGAACTTATTGTTGACTTCAAAATAATTACTCCTATATACGAATTCTATTAGATCCACTTCTTCTTCCTCTGTTTCAGTCTTTTTTAGTGTACTTTCTATTAGATTCCAGGTTATCAAAGGGTACATGTTTATTATATCTAGGCTTGCAAGTCTGTAATTTTTGCTCATTTTTATATTTTTCATGTCATGTATAAGTTTGTCTGCATGTTTGATGGAGTATTCCAAATTATTATACTTTTGTAATTTTCGTTTTAAGTATTTTTCTAAATTATATAGGACTGAATTTTTGAAGTTGACGATGAGTCTTATTTGTTCGCCTGACTTATGTGTTTTTAGTTGTATGTTTAGCTTAGGAGTTCTGCTATTTTCATTTGCTAAAATATACTGTTTATCTTCTCTTTTTATGTTGTTTAATTGAACTTGCTTATTTATTCGTTTTTTTCAGTTCAACATAAATGACTTCTTTTGGGTCTATTGGTAGTTCTCTGAAATTATTTGCCAAGTGTCAAAAAATGCACTAAGTCGTGACATTGAATTAGATTTCATTCAATTAAATCCATCATCAACTGCACACTAGAAAACATTCTGTTGAAATACAAATGATGATAACCCTCAAGTGTTACTGTTAAATATATGAAAACAACAGAGCCAAGTGCTTTTGAAGTTCATGGAATGCAATAAATTTTTACACAGATGTGAGAGCCCAGACTTGACAAAAAAAATTTACAGGTGAAAATTTAATTTTTGAAATTAAAACTTGCTACAAATTTTTCCCACAATTGTTAAAATTGTAAAGGATATGATTTTATCCCTCTAAAGAGTCACTTCCCTTTCAAGATGATACATGAAAATGTGTCACCAGGAACTTGGCAACGAGAATTTGCTACTGGACAGAGACATTACAACATTGACACAGAAGGGCAGGGGAAAAACGGGGAGGATCCCCAAATAAAAGGCAAGGTCATGACACAGGGAGGTTGTTGTCATTGTGAGTTCGCTATCTTTGGACTAGTGTTTGCGCCTGATTGCTTTTGGATGCTGCTTAAGTATCCGTCGCCAATCCTCTGCCTATCTTAAGACATCCAGAGATTTTTGTACATTTCCAATTTGTTGAAGCTTCTCCTGAACAATCTTGAGGATCAGCAGGACATCGATCCACTGATTCTTTGATACCCAACAAAGATCAACCTTGATTTTACTATGGTATTTATCAATGCACAGACGATTGTAAACTCTCTCTCTTGCAGTGAGGAATCTGTGATATTAACGATATGGGTTACCTTTTTTCCCGTATTGTGTTATAAAATTAGCAGCAAGCTAAGCTCCTTATATAACTTTTGTATATTATTACTATGTAAATAAATAGGTATTATTATTTGTTAAATTCATAGTAGAGTGCACTCACTTCTTCCGGTTGTCTCTCAGGCCATCTCCATCCTAGGCCCAAGCACCTACAAACATGACCACTCGTNAGCAAGCTAAGCTCCTTATATAACTTTTGTATATTATTACTATGTAAATAAATAGGTATTATTATTTGTTAAATTCATAGTAGAGTGCACTCACTTCTTCCGGTTGTCTCTCAGGCCATCTCCATCCTAGGCCCAAGCACCTACAAACATGACCACTCGTACATAAAAGTCACTTCTTGCGAGTTAATATTAGCCATTTTGTTTAAAACCTCTATCGGTTGCTTGACACTGTATCGAGTTGCTTGACTAAAACCCATAAAAAGAAAAAAGAAATAAGACCAGTTGTCGATAAAGCATGCGCCCCTACAATATTACTCGAAAAATGGGTACACAACTTTGTTCGGCAGCATGGCCCTAATAATCCATACAGTGTCAAGCAACCGATAGAGGTTTTAAACAAAATGTACATAAAAGTGAACATAACAGTTTCTGTGTCTGTCCAAAAGACATAGTGGTGTCAGTCCTGACGAACTAATCATTGCTAACGCAAAGTTGACTCTTCAGTCAAGTGGTGCCAAAGCATAGGGAGGCCCTTCAGCATTGTCACACAGTACACTTCAAGATTACAAACATAAATGCTTCCAGATCACTCAGCATCNATTAGTTGTATAACATAGAAACAGCTAACAAGAAAAATACGCTACTTAACTATGCTATTTCATACAATCATAATAGAAAATTTATAGCCATCGTAAAAATAGAGGGATGCAAAGCAAGGGTCTGCTGAATATTGATTAGGCGGAGAACAGTTCGAGGAAATCGTTTTGCAGATTTATTAACTTAAATTTCTTAATTATATCAATTAAATAAGTTTCCTTTTGCATTCCGATAAAAAATATTACTTTTATCGAAAAGAAATACAACATTTATTGCTTTTATTTTGATTACCTCAGAAATATGACTAAGTTTATTATTTTAAATAATTTTATATAAAATTCTTAATGTTTTTATTCTCATTTGTGATGGGATGAAAGTTATATTAAACATATTTCTCAAGACTACATCTACCAAGCTCGCTCTTATTGTTAGATATTGTTTTGACTGAATTTTAACGCGAAACGCTTTCTATTTTAATTAATATCATACTTTAAATTCTAACCACACACAGGTTTAATGTATTTATACTTTCTCGGTTGTTATATATAACAGAGGGAATGTATGATGTTTTCTTCATCAACTTTGAAACTTAGGCTAATTCCTGTGCCTTTTGTCGCAAGTTTCTGAATTTTCCAGGAAGATTTGTGTATTAGGGTGATTGATGCTATTAAATTTTGATGGTTTAAGATCGAGGGGGTCACGTGTCATATCTCGAGTAGTGTCGGACTTGAGAATCGCGTCCGACCAAGTTTATAAATTTGGATTTAGTATAGCAGCTAAGCACGCAGATAATAAAAATTAACATATTTTTCCATATATGAATAACGATTATGCAAATAAATTAATGAATTTTGTTAAAAGTTTATATTATTTAAGTGATAACATTTAAACAGATATATTTAATTTCATCTTATATTATTTTTTGTTGAGAAGTTTTAAGTTTCATTTTTTCACGAAATACACACATCAATAAAGGTGTGTGTATCATACATTCCTCTACGTACTGATCTGCAACCCAAGATTGTTCTTTCCATTTGTTCCGATTATTGATCCAAGCAAAAGTTGGAACTGCTGATGAAATACAATATAGAGTGACTGATTAATCATAGAACTAAAAAAACACGCTGCATTCTCATTTTATTTAAAGAGAAATAATTTTAAGAACCATTAATTAATATTGTATGTTTTCTAACTCTATATTATATAATCTGCATATGAAATATTCGTGTGTTTACAAAGTGCAGATAATAAGTAACAGTGTCAAAGAATTAATTTTATAAGAGATGGCGCTCTGAGTTTAAGCACATTCTAAGTGTGCAAAATGATTCATTTGAATCCTTCGAAATATTCAAATAAACTTGCTAAAGATAGTCTATTAATCATTATTTCGATCCATCATTCGTTAACGAAATTTACATTAACACAGAAATCAGAGCGAGTGACGGAGAACACGTGTCATTGAAACTCGCATTCAGTTTACAATGTTGCCTCGTACTTCGAATTTAATTCACTCCGGAAGGCTGTCGACTCCGAATCAATATTTCGCATTAGAAATAATGGAAGGTTAATTACACAGCAAATACACATAATTTAAGGTTAAAAAACAATTAAATACCCTAATAATAAATTAAAACACAAACAATAAATAAAATAGACCAGCAACGAGTTACTCAACTTTCCCGGCAACATTTAAAATTTTTGTGGCGCCATCTGTTATCGTACTCTATTTAAAAACTTTTTTTTTAATAATATAAAATTGCAAAAGCTTAATTTTGAGAGTGGATGGGTGTTATAGAAGCTTGTAAATGCTAATAATGAGTAAAATCGTCATTAAGTCCGACTCTACTGGAGATCCGCACGACCCTCGTTATCTACCCATCCTCTCGACCTTTAACTACCAAATTTTAATAGCATCAATACCCCTAATATATAAACTCCCTGCAAAATTTCAGAAATTTTCGACAAAAAGCACAGGAGTTATTAAGCTTCAAAGAGGATGAACAAAATCGTGCCTCGCTCCCCCACAGAAATTACTCCGGAATATTTTTTGCATTTTTCTACGTTTCAAGATCCCGACTCCAAAAATGTAAAAATCTTTGGGAGTGTAATTTTGACTGATCGCCATACTTTCCCTCTGTTATATATAACAGCCGGAAAAGTAAAATCGCATTAAATGATCACACACCGTTGACTTCATCTTAAACATGGCGGCAAGATCCACCACACTTGTAGAGTTTTCACGCTTCGCGTTAAGTTCCCTTTTTATCTCAATCTTCCTCTTAGACTTGTTACTTCCACTCTCTTTATATTGGGTTGAACAAAAGTAACAACTGTTAAAAAAAACTTTAACACATATGTGATTTAACTATAACAATTGTGAAATTTATTTCTATATTCATAATTTAAACCAGTGATTATCAAACTACGGTCCCCAAACATATTTGATCAAACTTATCCACATTTTTCAAACTACTGTCATCATCACGAAAGCAGCCATGTTGAAACCAGTTCAAATGGTATAAATACCTGTACTTACAAGCTACACATTGATGTATTGCTATGGGCTTAATTTTGATTTAAGATCACGTCAATGGATAATCAAATTATCGGTTGATGCGATCTTATAGAATGGTATAGTTACCCTATGGGTGCACTTAGCCCCAGCTAACCTTAATTTCCTTTTAAAGTTTTTAGGAAATTATTTCATTTCAGTGGGGATGTTGTCCCTGTAATCAAATATGATAAAAACATTCAGCTAATTAAAAATTATGTAAATAATATTTATTTTATATTTTACAACCAAATGTATATAAGATTTTTAAATTAATAATACAATGGATTATGAGTGACCCAGTGTGCCTGAGGTTTATTCTGTGCCGATTTGTGAGAAGTGAAGATTGACTTGTAGGTCTCCGACATTTTCGGATCTTTTGCCACACTATAATTTGATTTGGCAGTGTTTGGCAGGATCCATTTTGTAGATGGCTTTACCACATTTACCTTTTCTTTTTCTGTAATCTTCACAGATTCTGCAATTCAAAACAATGCATTAAAAATTTAATTTTTCATATTTTTTGGAAAAAAGTAATGTTATAAAAACAAAAAATATTATATTAAATGATATGTGCATAATTGTTCAAACAAGCTAGATATTTTTATTTTAATTATTTCAGCTAGAAATTAGTTAGTAATGATTAAATATTTTGCATCTTGGAAGATTGTGCTATTATAGAAACATTGTTACAATTCCTGATTTGGAAACATTAAATTAACTTCTCAAAATCGCTGTATAATTTTTCATTAAAATTCTACTTTTATAAAACCATAATACAAGGGAGAATCAATAAGTAATGCATAATATTTTATTGTAGTAGTACTATTGGTAGCAGAGTGGTGAAACCTAGATCAGGAGTATAGTGAATCTCCCTTTACAGAAATGTAGGTCTGCATGAGGTGTCTGTCTAGTGGTGCAAAAGAGAATTAGCTAGCAAAGATGGCAGGTGCATTGGCATCATCCACACTGCTTGAGAAGCTGTTGTATGTTTTTTTATGGGCTAAAAACAGAATTTCCACAGAGATGGAAGAATGTATCGGAACAAGTGCCTACACTGCAGCAACATAGTGTGATGGAGCAAGTTCTTTTCTGAGGGACAAGACAACCTAACTGGTCATCTACATTCCAACTGCCCAATAAGCATTTACTCTAATGATGATGTGCAAACTGATATGGAATTCAGACTGATTGCTGTATCTTCCTAGAGTCTTTGGCCAACCTTATGAACATTTCCTATGGAACAGCTTATGATATTGTTGACAAGAAGCTGCAGTATTACAAGGTCAGTGCCTGATGGGTCCTAAACAATAGAATGCAAAGAAGCAGGGCATGAGAATGATGACATCACTGCAATGGTATACTACTGAAGGGAACAGTAGGTTTCTCCAAATATAGTGATCAGTGATGAATCATGTGCCTACCATTTCACACTGAAAACAAAACAAGCCAGAATGGTCTGGAAACATCCTTAACCCACTGGCAAAGTTCTGGGTTAGCAGTCTACCAAGAAGGTCCTTGTTAGGTGTTCTGGGACATCAAGGGCCCTGATAGAATTCCTTTCTTCCTAACTGTTATCACTAAAATATACACAAAAATGTGCCATGCATTTTCTGTCAAACAGCTGGAATGAGGGCCTACAGATGTGGACATACATTATTGTGGAGTTTCACATGTCTGGCACAGTGCATGCACAAATTGCAAGGTACAGCTGAGAGGTCCTCTTGCACCTTCCTTACAGTCCCAACCTTGCACTGAGTGACTTTCATCTCTGGCCCCATGAAGTTCTTGGGAGACAATACTTTGATGTGATGCTGAAGTAAAAAGTGCAGTGCACAAATGGTTGTACATCCAGAAGACAGTTCTGTGAACAAGGCATCTTTCAGCTTGTATCACAATAGGACAAATGCATCAACAGGAATGGTTCATATGCCAAAAATATTTAATGGTTGCCCCCTTGCAGTCACCTGCCTTACCTTTGTTCCTGGTAATAAACCTTGCTTGAAAAAATATTATGCATTACTTATTGATTCTTCTCTGTACATTTATTAATTCTAATTTTCATTAACATTCCGTATAAAAACATACAAGTCTATCTCATTTCTGAAAACCTCTCATATTTCTTTAACATATCAGGAAGATAATCTGAAATCACTTGAACAGTTCCACAAGTTCAACAAATTTCATTCATTTATTTGTCGAAACCGTGTCTTCTTCTTGATCCTTTTAATTCAATGTCACGACTTGGTGCATTTTTCGACACTTGGCAAATAATTTCATCATCCACTTTTAATTCATACAGATATGCGTTTTGGGCTTTCGCCCTCTTCAGTCTGTTACATAGATAGGTACTTCCCACTCCCCTTCCCTTCCCTTCCGACTTGACGGCCTCCCCCGCATGCCTCGTAACTTGTAACATCTCACTCCCTGAGTGCTGCACACAGCCTCGCCTGCAACTGTATCAACATTCTATTTTAATAATTGTAGCTAGTTTTTATGAATGTCAATGCTTAGATTCTTGTTAATAATATTTTTGTCTGTAGTAATTTCGTAGCTTTCCTTGAATTTTCTTTTGTACCAATTTTTTCTTTGTGTGCTATTATAACATCATTCTTATCTATTTTGTAGTTGTGGGTTGCGCAATGTTCGTAAAAAACAGAGTTGATTCTATTGTAAAAATTTTTTCTTTGTGTGCTATTATAACATCTTTCTTATCTATTTTGTAGTTGTGGGTTGTGCAATGTTCGTAAAAAACAGAGTTGATTCTATTATACTTCAGGTCTGCGATGTGTTCTTTTAATCTTGTTTGTAATTATTTTGTTTCACTTCTCCAATGTATACTTTTGGCGGTTCGCGTGTGCAAGGTATTTTATAGACGACTTCGTTAGTGTTGTATTTGTCTGGTTGTTTATTTATGCCAGGTTCAGCCTTCTGGATTCTTTTTTGCAAGTTGTTATAGGTTGGGGCTAGCTTTATATTTATTTTATCAAAGCTTTTGTTTACCTGTTCAAAAAAGCCATGAATGTAGGGGAAGGATATGTATCTTACTCTGTTTTTATCTTTGTTTTGTTTATTTTCCAGCCTTTTATTGTTGATTTTACTTTCCCAGTTATTTATTATTCGTTTTGGATAGCTGTTTAATAGGAATTTAGTTTGCAGTTTGTTGAGATGTTTTTTTCTTCTTCTGTAGTGAGCTTGTTCTGCTCTCAATTTTTTTTATACTCCATGATGAATATGTTTTCTTTTATGTATCGTGGAATGTTTGAATTGTAGTTTAACACTTTCCTGATCTCGCATGGTTTTGTGTATGGCTCGAATTCAATCTTGTTTGCCTTTCTAGTTATTTTAATGTTGAGGTAATTTATTTCCGTGTTTGCCTCATTTTCTACCTTGAATTTGATGTTATTGTTTAATTTGTTTATTTTTTCTTCTAATTTTGTTATTTCTTGGTCATATAGTATAATTATGTCATCCACATATCATTTATAGAACTTTACGCCTGTAATCTTTTTGATTGCTTGATCTATATCTACCATAACAAGTTCTGCTAGCTTCAGGCCTATGACTAATCCCATGCTCATGCCTGTCTGTTGTGTGTAGAACTTATTGTTGACTTCAAAATAATTACTCCTATATACGAATTCTATTAGATCCACTTCTTCTTCCTCTGTTTCAGTCTTTTTTAGTGTACTTTCTATTAGATTCCAGGTTATCAAAGGGTACATGTTTATTATATCTAGGCTTGCAAGTCTGTAATTTTTGCTCATTTTTATATTTTTCATGTCATGTATAAGTTTGTCTGCATGTTTGATGGAGTATTCCAAATTATTATACTTTTGTAATTTTCGTTTTAAGTATTTTTCTAAATTATATAGGACTGAATTTTTGAAGTCGACGATGAGTCTTATTTGTTCACCTGACTTATGTGTTTTTAGTTGTATGTTTAGCTTAGGAGTTCTGCTATTTTCATTTGCTAAAATATACTGTTTATCTTCTCTTTTTATGTTGTTTAATTGAACTTGCTTATTTATTCGTTTTTTTCAGTTCAACATAAATGACTTCTTTTGGGTCTATTGGTAGTTCTCTGAAATTATTTGCCAAGTGTCAAAAAATGCACTAAGTCGTGACATTGAATTAGATTTCATTCAATTAAATCCATCATCAACTGCACACTAGAAAACATTCTGTTGAAATACAAATGATGATAACCCTCAAGTGTTACTGTTAAATATATGAAAACAACAGAGCCAAGTGCTTTTGAAGTTCATGGAATGCAATAAATTTTTACACAGATGTGAGAGCCCAGACTTGACATAAAAAAATAGGTCAGGTAATTTTTTTACAGGTGAAAAAAAAAATTTTCACCTGTAAAAAAATTACAGTTGAAAATTTAATTTTTGAAATTAAAACTTGTAATATATTTTTCCCACAATTGTTAAAATTGTAAAGGATATGATTTTATCCCTCTAAAGAGTCACTTCCCTTTCAAGATGATACATGAAAATGTGTCACCAGGAACTTGGCAACGAGAATTTGCTACTGGACAGAGACATTACAACATTGACACAGAAGGGCAAGGGAAAAACGGGGAGGATCCCCAAATAAAAGGCAAGGTCATGACACAGGGAGGTTGTTGTCATTGTGAGTTCGCTATCTTTGGACTAGTGTTTGCGCCTGATTGCTTTTGGATGCTGCTTAAGTATCCGTCGCCAATCCTCTGCCTATCTTAAGACATCCAGAGATTTTTGTACATTTCCAATTTGTTGAAGCTTCTCCTGAACAATCTTTAGGATCAGCAGGACATCGATCCACTGATTCTTTGATACCCAACAAAGATCAACCTTGATTTTACTATGGTATTTATCAATGCACAGACGATTGTAAACTCTCTCTCTTGCAGTGAGGAATCTGTGATATTAACGATATGGGTTACCTTTTTTCCCGTATTGTGTTATAAAATTAGCAGCAAGCTAAGCTCCTTATATAACTTTTGCATATTATTACTATGTAAATAAATAGGTATTATTATTTGTTAAATTCATAGTAGAGTGCACTCACTTCTTCCGGTTGTCTCTCAGGCCATCTCCATCCTAGGCCCAAGCACCTACAAACATGACCACTCATACATAAAAGTGAACATAACAGTTTCTGTGTCTGTCCAAAAGACATAGTGGTGTCAGTCCTGACAAACTAATCATTGCTAACGCAAAGTTGACTCTTCGGTCAAGTGGTGCCAAAGCATAGGGAGGCCCTTCAGCATTGTCACACAGTACACTTCAAGATTACAAACATAAATGCTTCCAGATCACTCAGCATCCATGATTTTCAGTCCTTGTTTTGTAGGTTTTAGAGAGGGTATATTGTACAATGTCAACATAACCTTTTTATATTCTATTTTAGTAAAACTTCAATTGCTACATCTCTTCCACGATGAAAATGTTTGATAGTTGATTTTTATATAAGTTAAAAATAGTTCAATATTTTGTAAAAAATAATAGAAGGGAGTCAGTTTTGGGAAGTTCCTTCTGTCAATATGATAAAGATTTTAATAACTTCAGAAAATGATCACAAGGCATGATTTTTTTTAATCATTTTGTTACCTAACAGTGGATGACTTAACCAATAGTGGGACAGTTGTAGTTTCAATAGTTCCTGAATACAATTACCCTGTTCTCAATACTGGAACGAATCACAAACAAACTTTAAACAACTTTAAAGTCCACCATTTAATTTTTGTTGTTATTTAGCATTATGTTTTTGTTCTAATTTAAAAAAAATAATATTTTGAAAAGTTGTTTTGCTCATTCCAATTTGGAATTTCCTTAATTTAAAGACCTGAGGCAGACTTTGGTCAAGGTTGTTTGTCAAAAGTTTTTTACATTAAAAATTTTTGTTACTGGACTTTAAAGGTTGTTTAAAGTGTGTATGTTTCTGAATGCATATTGAAAAAACACTAATCGATGCCTAAATTTCTAATATTGACTCAATTGGTTTCCACTTTTTATCAACAATCCCATTTTGAGTTTCCTGGTTCTGGCATAGTGATTTGTATTATTTCTGATTTCCTTTGCCATGTCGACCATAACAAATAATTTGAAATAAGCACCATATTATGAATCTTGTGGTAAACTATGTTCAGTTCCTACATTATTCTTAAAATCATGCACAATTACTTTCTCATTATCAATATTACTAGTTCATAAAACATCAATAAGGGAGATAGGAAAAAACAACTTTTACATTCCTACTTCTTCCACATTTTCCAAATAGTATAATTTTGTCATCATCATAGTTATCATCTTGTTCATATGCCAATTTATCATCACTTTTATCATAAAGATCTTCATCTCTTGCTTCTTCTGGGGCAATACCAATATTTGATAAATTTCATAAAGAAATGGTTAAATGGAGCCTTTGAGTGAATACATGATGGGTTACTAAGCACTTGCGGTGACCATCATGGACTCGCGAGATGGCGCCACTCCTCTAGGAGTTCCCCGAGAATCCCAGACTGAAAAACGGGGACGAGTTTTTTTCCCGCAGGGGATTCTGAGTATTGTTGCCTCTTCTTGTCGGGTGATTGCTGCCATGAGCATGTGTAGCTCTCTCTCAAGTGTACTCGTAAGATTGTTGTGAATAAATATTGTTTTAGTTTAAAACGTGGTCATGGACTTAACTAATTCATGTTTACAGTCTTCTGATAAAGACAGTCTTTATGGAGATCGAAATGAATGGAGAAAGACAGCCAGGTTTCGTCTAACCACCGGCGGCCATCCATTACCTCCACACTATTACATCTCTATATATGAAGCCCTCAATATCATCATACACTCAATACATCCATTTAAATACAAGATTGATTGAATTTGTTTATCAATCAATACATCACTCATAAACTGTACACAAAATATACTTGTGGAGTGTTATCCTTAAATGCACCAGAATTCAATAATGTTTGTAAAAGGTATATTGGAAACATTAACAAAACATTAATTACTAGGATGATGAATAAACCTAAAAACAAATATCCAGAAAAGATATCTATACTAGTATTTAAATTATTGAAAGGATCAAGATTATATAAAAAAAATAATCTATAATGTGTAGAAAATATTTTAAAATTTATATTTTTAAATTTGATCACTTTCACACTGCAGTTTAAATCTGTTCTCTATTCAAGCATTTTATTCTTTTTTTATAGAGATTTGAAGATAAAATTGTAAAAGTTTCAAAACATGTTTAACCATAATAAATACTTTGATTCTTCAAAACTATTAAATATAATTATGTAAGTGAATTAATTAGTGGAATGTTTTTTAAAGATATTTATTTGGGTTGCAATTTGAAAAAAATTGTAAACCTATAAATTACCACTGTCGTCCGTCCAACTGTCTTTCCTTAATCTTCAGAATGGAGTTACATAGATGAAAGCAAAGACCATATGTGGAAAGCTTAGGGACAGGAGGCTCTGATTAACTATATAAAAAACTTCTGATGCAAACTGGAAGTCATGTTAATTTACTTGCCTTAATGTCCTTAACTATTATTTTATTCCAAAATTGTCAACATGGACTTATTGGATTAATAGGACTATATTGGATATTAACAAAAGGAGGAGTTCTTAATCAGGATATCAAAAAATCTTTTTTTTTCACCTATAGTAGTTTTTCCTGTACACACAATATATGTGTTTCGGGCAAATTGGCTCCTCTTCAGCAGTTTTACTACAATGATGTTCTAGAAATTTATATTACAAACATTTAATAAAATTACAATTTAAAAGGCCCAACAATAAAATATTAAAACTTACAGATTTCTTGTATCCAATTATTTCAAAATATGCATAAATCACACTTAGAAGAATTATTAATTTTACATTGCACAAATGCATTTTTCTATATTAAAATAATAAAGGGTTAAAATCATATTTTTAAAAATACAAAAAAAATTTTTCAAATTGATTACTTACATGACAAAATTAATAGAAAAAATAATACAATTTGATATCAAGAAAGAAAAGAATAATAGTATTAATTATTTGGATATAACCATAGAAAGAAAGGAAGATAAATTAGAATACAAAAAATTTATTAAACCTATGCAAATTCCAAAAGTTCTAAATTATAAATCAAATGTACCAACAGCCATAAAATTTAATATTTTTAAAATGTATATTGATAAAATAAAAAATAGAACAAGTAAATTAGAAAATCAACAAACAGAAATAGAACAAGTTACAAAAATGTTTTTATTCAATGGATATCCAAAAAAAAACTGCTCAAAAAATGGCTAAACTGGATAAATAGTAATGAATATAGAAATAAAACATTTGATAAAGATAAAAAATGTTTAAATTTAGTTTATATATCAAAACTATTTGAAAGAGTAAAAACAAGTGTAAATGGAAAAATAAATTTAATACCTGAAAAGAATGATTTATTCAAGAATATTTATATCATAGTTCAGAAAAAAAAAAATGGATATAATAGAAGAAAAAGAGGTGGTTTATTCTTTTGGTTATAATTGTAATCCAGTAAAAACTTACATAGGTGAAACAAAACGGAAATTACAAACACACATAAAAGAACACATACAATCAATAAAGGGAAATTATGCAAATTCTGCAGTGTTGGAACATTGTAATAGTAACAGATGTGAAATAAATTTAAACACAATTAAAATAAAGAAAAAAGAAAGCAATAATTTTAAATGTCAATTATTTGAACATATCTATATAAAAAGACAAAGCAATAGAATACAGAAACAATAACCTAGGACATGAAATCCACCAATCATTGCAGAGCATAATTAACGACAAAAGCAATAAGCCAAGGGATATAAATAGACAAAAGAAATAAGTGACGGGTAATTTATAAGTTCATGAGAGCAGAGATCAACATGCAAGTTTAATCAATTTGAAAAAATTTTTTTGTATTTTTAAAAATATAATTTTAACCCTTTATTATTTTAATATAGAAAAATGTATTTGTGCAATGTAAAATTAATAATTCTTCTAAGTGTGATTTATGCATATTTTGAAATAATTGGATACAAGAAATCTGTAAGTTTTAATATTTTATTGTTGGGCCTTTTAAATTGTAATTTTATTAAATGTTTGTAATATAAATTTCTAGAACATCATTGTAGTAAAACTGCTGAAGAGGAGCCAATTTGCCCGAAACACATATATTGTGTTTACAGGAAACACTACTATAGGTGAAAAAATAAAGAGTTTTTGGTTTTCTGATTAAGAACACTTCCTTTATATAATAGCCAATACACCAGTGTAATAGTCCTATTAATCTGATAAGTCCATGTTGTCAATTTTAGAATAAAATGGAAGTCATGTTATTTCAATTCAAAATTTTCCCCTGAAAGGAGTTAGATGACTGGCATGACTATTCTAACAGGAAAAGTATGATGTACAGTACAGGGGCAAGACATTACTAATCTGAGATAGAGAGCATATATTTTAAATTAAATAAATTAAAAATATGATTAAAAATTGCAGCCCAGCATTATGATAATGTCACAATAAATATTTGCATGTTACTATATATTGACATTTTCAATACAATACTTATCATTTTTTAAAAACTGTTTCTGCCCTGTGAGCACTAAGAGGGCCTCTTTTGGCAAGCTCATTATGGGTTCAGCCAGGCGGTGAGGGACAGGGTCTGACATATCCGGACAGACCACCCCAACGCTAAAAAATTCCTGGGAATTTTTCAACCCATCCGGATTCAATCCCAGGTCCCCAAAGCAGTAGAGGCTGCCACTTTGACCACTTGGCCATCTGGCAGCTTAGTACTTACCATTTTGCTGACTTGATGTAGAAGGAATGGAACCATCAATTACATTCTTAGGTTTCTTTTCTTCACTTTTAACTATATTCTCAGACTTTCGCTTATTTGTTTTCTGATTAAAATAAATAAATGAATATAACAACTGTCAAATATATCTTTTATATAAAAGTTTTAAAGAATTTTTTCACAGAAAAGTTTTCATTGATATTTATGAAAAATTAAACAAAAGATTTTAAAATCAAGTAATCACTTAAAAAGATTTATAAGAATAAAATAAGATTTATTTTATTAAAAAGTTACTATTGACAAGTTTGTCCATAATTTATATAAAATTATTTGTATGTATTAATTTTGACTTCATGCAAAAATTATCATATAAAGATTATTTTATATTCATATAATTATATGCATGCTTATTAACTAAGATTATAATTTATCATGCTCATTTTTGAAATTAAATACAATCATCTTTTTACCTTTTCCGCCTTTTGTTTCAATCTTTTCTCTTTCATCTTTTCATATAAAATGGCAACTTCTTCATCATTTCCATTAATCACAATTATATCTTCTTCTGTAAAGTTTGTTCCACACTGAAATTTTATAAATAAAATAAATGTTAATAAATCAACATACTTTTAACAGGTTATCAACAGCA